CCTACTTGATTTGATTGGTAATAAATTAAACTAATTTTCCCAAACTGAGTCTGTTTTGCCCATGACAATAACTGGTGAGTGAGCTCTCCCTGTCCTTATCCCAACCCATGAGCATTTCATTATATCTTGTCTCCCCTGCCCAGTTGAGGGGGGAGTGATGGAGCGGCTTTGATGGGCACCCGGTGTCCAGCCAGAGTCATCCCAGCACAAATTCCCAGGTGAGTTTTCTCCCTCCCTGAAGCCCAAGCCCCTGGCTGGACACCAAACCCCAGAAGAGATACCAGCACTACCAGGCAGAATATCAGGCCTCAGAGCCAGCCCAGGTTTCTGGCAGGCTGTGTGCCCATTACAGAGGTGTGTGACACTTCTTTTTGCATGGCAGCTTTCACTTTGGGGTGCAGTGTTTGCCCAGTGCTCCTCGTTGTCTTGCTGATGGGGGTTAGCTTTTCTGCCCCACATTCAGTGCTTTGTGCATTTATCTGAGCAATAACAAATAAACTTCTTCCCCAGGGGTGGGCTTTGATATTGTTGCTCAGGAACTTTCATCACTTGTGTATTCACTGACAATGACAGTACTGGATATTTTTGCTATTGATAGACCTGTTAGATCCTTTTTCAGCTTCACCAGACTGAAAAGGTACAGCTTTGCTGCTTTCATGTGGTGTAAATGATCTGAGAAAGGGCTGAGCGGTAACACTGTTATCAATACATTGACACACAGGAAACCCACATTTCAAACACCAGATGGTGTCTAGTTGTCCCGTCTTAAAAGGGTATAAAGAAATGATCAGCTGTGAAAGATGACCAGAGTCTGCCCTGCCACAGATGGTGCAGTGCAGATACACAGCAAACTGTTATTAACTGTTTCTTACAATAGAAACTAGGAAGCGCCAGAAGAAATAATTGGGCATCTGGTCTAAATGCAACAGAATAAATTACTTTTCACATTGCACATAATTACATGGCAGAACTCTTGACTTCACAATACCCTGTGATAATAAAAAATATAAATGTCAGTTCTTGGGCATACTGAATTCCTCAAATCCAATTTTGCAGCAGATGGTTTAAAAAAAAGCCATCACAAAATAAACACAAAAAGAGGATCAGGAACTATAAATGGTTAGTGGATATTAATGATTAGCAGAGTGACTCTCCACATTTTATAAAGTTCATAAAGTCTCAAAGTGCTCATATCCGCAGCCTGGTCATGGGTCTGAGCCCATTCTTTGGGCAACTGAGGACTTTCCTCCAGCAGCTTTATAGGAAATATCCGTGATTTGTTGGACCTTTGCCCTCCATTATTATTATTATCACAGGGAATCAATGAATTAATTCCACCTCCATGGAGGAGAAATAGGATACAGAAGCCAGCACATGCACATGGCTGAGTAGATGGGAATGAACCCTCACAAAAACCTTGGATGTTTTCTTCCAGTGAACATGGCAACAGTTGAGCAGCAGCCACGGCAACCCCAGTGAGAAGACGTGGCAGGCAGGCATGGGACTGGTGAGAAGACGTGGCAGGCAGGCATGGGACTGGTTGGGAGACAGGCTCTGGCAGTACCAGGGCAGGTCTGGCATGTGCATTCTCCCCAGCCCTCCTTTAGACCAGCCAGCAGCAGGCTGAAGGACAATGCTCACCTGGAAAAGGCCACCTGAGTCACGGCAGCAGCTGCCAGCTGCTTCCACAGGCACAGCCAGGGCACAGCTGGCCATGGGAGGCTCTGCAGCCAGGATTTCAACAGGGACAGCACCCTTCTGCCCCTCTCTAGGGGCAGACACAGGCGGAACTGGACCCGTGCAGACTTGCTGTGTCAGAGACAGGAATGGAGGACACAGAGATTTGCACATTCCATAAACTTGCTGGTTTGGGGGAAATAATTCCAAGAGTGTTGTGTCCTGTAAAGGGAACAGTCACAGCGGTCCAGGACCCAGCTACTGCAGGTCACGTCATGTTAACTCCTTTCATAAATCTGTAAATGCCACCTCACGCTGGTTAAAAGCTGACTAAGGTTTAGATTAGGGACAAAAAATCCATGCATCCTTTGTGGGTTTCATTTAATCAATAACATTCATACACTGCACGGTATGGGGCAGATTCTGCAAAGGCACATCATCAACCCAAACCTTTTTCCAGTGCCATGGACACAAACACGGAGGTCAATTCCAGAGGTGCTGGCAGCCCTTGCCAGTGTATTCAGTCCTGGGCAGAGGAAGAAGACAGCAGGGTGATGTGATGCAGATACAGGAGACTCCTGCACCGTGGTCAGGACATTTCCTTGCTGCCAGCACTTCTCCAAGAACCTCACATTTGCTTGGGGCAGGCTGGGACTCCGGGGCCCGCAGCCCAAGCTGCAGAGGTGAGGATGGGATCTCAAGCCCGCTGCTGGATTTCCCCACTGAATTGCAAGTACAAGGCACCACAAGGAATATAATACAATTTAGATGTTTTAGTTCCTGATTTGTGATTGCAAATTGAATTTTGCCCGGCCAAAACCCCAAACACTCAAATGATAATTAAACATGTATGGAAAGTTTGCTCTCTCAGTATTTATTATTTATAGACTGAACCCACAAATACAGATGTGTGTCCCCTTCTCCCAAAGCAGACCGTGCTCCTCCCTGGGCACAGTTCCCGGGCTCACAGAGTTGTCCTGAGTGGCACAGCACGTCCTTCCCTGTGTCCAGCACAACTGATCCAGAGTGTGTGAAGCCTGGGAATGCCACTCAGCCAACAGTGGTTGCCCAGGGTGGTCAGACACAAAATTTCCCAATCACAGCATGATTCTCCCCCTGTCTGAGCAATAGGACTACAGCCTGAAGCCTGTCCTGTCCTAGGGAAAGGACATAGAAACCAAACCCCTTGCAAGTGGCTTTGGGGAGATGCAGAATAAACTGTCCCACGGTGCTAATGCTGTTTCTGCTGTCAAAAAAACATCATTACCCACTGATACCTAAAATTGACAGTACTGATCTTTCCAAATAACATCTTTTAAAAGTTGTCACGTCCTCTTTATCTGAGCACTCCTGTGCAGGCCAGAGCAATGCTGGGCAAGCCAGGGATCCTTGGCTGGTAGGCAGGCCACGGAGCAGTTAACATTAACATCAACAGCTAGCTCTGCATTAACCATGTGGTTCTCAGAGTGACCAGGTGAGAATGGGTCTTGCAGAGAAGAGACAACTGGCAGTCTGTTCCTGTAAAACCTCTTGCAGTTGCCAGGTCTGCTCTTGGCTTTCCTGAAGTCCCCTCTCCAGCATGCAGATAGAGGGAGAAGGAGCCTTCTAACAGGACTCTACTGGGAAAGCAATAGCTGGCTCACCCTGCTCCCCACCACTGCGGACTGCAGCAGCAATGAAGTTCAGCACAGGAAGGAGGCAGGCTCCTGATGCGTGAAGAGTGTCTGAAAAGCAGCATTAAACAACCTAGACGGGGCCATTTTGACCATCCAACCTGCCATGGAGCTGCAGAGTTAACGTAAGTCCTGCCAGGCTTCAATGTCCACTTGGCTGGAACTTGTCCCTTGCACAAATACGCTGCAGATTAAATCCTTCCCACAACTACCTTGGTCTTCCACAGCTCTCCCCAAAGCACAGACTGATTCTCCTATATCAAGGAACGACCTCCTGAAGTGACCAGGAAATACTTTTCGGGGCCCCAGTGCACTGAACTATCCATGTATGTGCCCACATCTGCACACATGCAAACACTGATGTACCTCTGCTGTGGGCTGACCCCATCCAGGGCATGGTCTAAGCTGCCATTTGGCTCCAGCTGTGCTACATGACCAGGACAATGCAGGCTGCAGCCAAGGACATCAGCTGGGCAGGGAGGAGCCCCAGGAGCCCCCAGGTCTGCCCAAAGCCACAGCTAGGCTGAGCCACCTTAGCAACCCCTTGGAACCACAGATTCCCACCAAGATTCTCCTTCCTGTAAGTTACTGCTGTGAGGCAATAGAGGATGGTTTGGGTTCATTTTCTTATTTCCCTACCACTTCACTAGCCCAGTGCTGCCTCCCATGGGAACGGGACACAGCCCATGCCTGTGTCTTCATGCGCGCACGGAGCAGCACCCTGGAGGGGCCAGAGCACCCCCAACTGCAGAGGAGCTGTGAGACTGTGCTGCAGCATCAGCTCTAATGTCGGCAGCTCTCAGTGCCCAGCAGTCGCGACACCAGTGAGCCGATGGTGCTCACTAGGTGTGACCACGGCCCCACGGCCCGGGACACGTCCCCGATTGTGGAGCCTCTCGCGCCGAAGAGAGCGGCTGTTGGGAACTACTGGGGGTCCAGCACGGGGAGAGTGGGCGCTGGGAGTCACCGGGGGTGCAGCGTGCAGCGGGGCACCGGGGGTTTCTGGAGAGCGATACCGGGAGCGGCGCCGGTGGCTCGGAGGGTCCAGCCCGAGACGCGGGCGGTCCCGGCGGTTCGGGGGGGCGGCTCGGGGGGCGGTGCTGGCGATCTGGGGGTACGGCTCGGGGGGCCGGGGCGGCGCCGGCCGCTCCGGGGCAGGGCTGGGAGGCGGCGCCGGAGCCGCTGCTCCCAGCGC